AGAGACGTCCACCCAGTGGATCTGCTGGGGACAGCCAGCAGACCCAAAGGGCCGCTCTCGAGTGCCCCCGAGGGAGCGGCAGGTTGACTTGAGCCAAAATGGCAACTCTCTCTCTCTCTCTCTCTGTCTCTCATTTCTCCCATTTCGGGTTTTGCGGGAAGCGAACTAGTTGCCAAACCTTCGGGAACGGGGCCTCGGCGAAGGCCAGTGGACAGGTTGGCAGAGCGACGCCTGGAAGTGCATGGCATAGACAAGAAGGATATCCGATTGGAGAGGCAAAGAGGATGCAGCGTTGCTGTTTAGCTTGGGAAGGGAGTTCATGCCGGCTCATGCCTGTTTAGTTTCACGCTGGCGCAACGAAGCCTGTCTGCGATTGTAGTGGTGCGCAGAAGCTTTGAAGGCAAATCCAGGAGGCTGCGAGGCGACATGTGACTGAGCTTGGAGCACGCAACCATGTTGCGGCGAAGACCACTCACTGTGGTCTCCTCATGTTCCGCGGGTATCAGTGTGCATTAGAGGAAAATACACTCCATCTTGCAAGTGTCATCATCTCATGATTCACTCGTCGTACACCCGACCTTGCTGTGCATCACTTGGTACTCATCCAGAAGCTTCTGGATGATCGGTCTCTTGGCCTCGACATGAAGATGCTGCCTTTGCTTCTGGATCCCTCGGCTGCGCACTGGCCTCGGAGATGTTCTCCAGAACCAGGGACTGGTTGCACGTCATGCGGAAACCACCCTCCACAAGCGAGGCTTTTAATGTCTGTGTGCCATCTGTCTTGCTCACAGATGACTTTTTCAGACAAGGGAGGTTGGCTAGTTCGGGTTTGCAAGTGTCGTTCCGGATCCGCACTCCCCTCTAGAAAGCCGACGGAACGACGGTCATGAATTCATCACAGCGTCCGCCAATGTCTGCCCAGCATCACCGAGCAACACAAGAGTATGTAAGCCAAGCATGACATTAGTGCCTTTAGCTGCGAACTTGTGCCTTCTCCTTGCCCTTCAGCTCTTCGGCGATCTTGCGGATGCACACGCGGGTGCTCTCCTGGCAAGCGCAGCTGCACGAATGTCCAGGTTCATGCGATCCAGCGACGTTTGTAGACACATACGACCGAAGGAAGGGACCGCTGGTCTCTGCCGGGCTTAAGAGGACTGGGCTCTTCAAGCTGTTCCTTGACTCGGCCAATGGGGACAAGAAGGCCGCAGCTCCAGGTGCCATCGCTGGCCTTCACCCAGCCTCGGCCCAAAGCTATCACACCCTCACAGCAGTCTCCGGTGCAACACTAGCTGACACAAAGTCATCTCTCGTGTTCCTGCCAAGCCCGCGATTACAATACCTAAATCACAAGATGGCTGGCATCTATCTAGGATTCGCTGAGTCTTGTGGGTCGAAGATCAAAGATCTTTCGATACTTTGTGGTCCAGTCCCATGTGAAGCAGCATGTCAAGTCAAGCGACCATCCAACGCAATTCTGACGTTGAAGTTTCTTTGCTGTTTCTGCGCGAATGGTGTCCGCGAGGCCGATCGAACTCGAAGGTTCGAGAGGTTGAAAGCTCGAAGGTTAGGAAGTTGAAGGCTTTGAAGCATTGACGCTGGAATGTGCAAGCGAGAGGGCATCAAACTCGATTTTTTCCAAAAGAACATTCAACGCCCCAAAGCTCGACTCGCTGAGCTTTAGTCGCGACTGACTTTGTTTCACTCTCTAATGCTCGAAAGATCGCAAGTGCGAGAGGCTCGAAAGGTTCGATTGAAAGCTCGAAAGCTTTCAAACATCGAAAGTTCGAGAGTTCGAGGGCTTGAAAGTTCAAGCGCTTCGAGTTTTGAAAGGTGGCTTCGAATTCGGTTCACGGCTCGCCGCTGAGGTCGAGAGTTTGACAGTTCGAAAGCTTCCAGGCTTGAGAGGTTGGGATGATTGAAAGTTTGAGAGCTCGAGGGCTTGGAAGTTTGGGAAGTTTGAAGACTTAAACGCGTCGAGTTCGAGACTCTCGACCGAGTTCCCAGTTTGAAACTTTGAGAGTTCGAAACTTGCAAGTTCGAAGGTATGAAAGACAGGCCACAGCTGATCCAACTCGCACCCCCCATGAGCCGATGGCACTCCGTCTCATATCTCGAACTGCCTCCTCACTAGGCGATGGCTGTTGATCCCAAACATCTCCCTATCTGAAACCTGCCCGCTTGTCAGGCGATGGCGTTGATCTCATACCTTAACACGCCCCCTCATTCGGCGATGGCAGCTGCATCAGATCCCAAACTTGCCCCGCCGTTACAACTAAGGTACATGTCACCCTTGTTCAAACAGGATGTTGCTTAGGCCTTTGGGTTTAGGTTATTCTGGCTCCCCTAGTTGTAAACCCGAATGCAGATACAAGACATACACCCCAAAACACTAGATAGTACGTGCGCAGAACCTCAAACTGCAAGCTTTGAAACTAGAAAGAAAACTTTAAATCTTTCAAATCTTCAAACTTTCAAGGCTTTAGTGATCGAAACTTTCGAACTCTGAAACTTTGCAGCGTTCGAGCTCTCAAACTCCGTGCCCTTCGAAATCTCGAACTTTCGAAGTTTGACGAATTCAAATTTTCAAGCAGTCAACCTTGTAACCGTTCCAACCGCGAAATTGTCGAAAAATCATTTCAAACTCTCAAATTGTCAATCCAGGGCTTTAACTTTTTGAAATCCAGCCTCTCACTTTCGACTCGAGGCTGGGAGTTGCCCCGTGGACCGGCCTGCGTCATTACCTCACGTCCGTCGCATGACACACGTCACTGTGGCTTCAAAGACTCGAACTGGATTCCCCCTCCAACTGTAAACTTGCACCTGTTTTCAAACTGGAAACTTTCGATCCTCAAACTTGTTATTCATCACAGTTTGAAAACTTCCCAATCTCGCTCGCTATCTGATATATTCAATCAATTGTTCAAACGCTCGAGTTCGAGTACCCCTGGGGCCTAGTCCTGACATCTATCTGCCAAACCCTAAATTCCGTGTTCAGAATGTGCAGACCCCTGTCTCAGGACGAGGCCGTGCAGGTCACCACGGTGCTCCAACTTGTAAGGCTTGGCCTTGAAGTGTCAGACATGCTTCCGATCCTAACCCAGGAAGGAGTGTTATTGCTAGGCAGTTGGCAGGCTCGAGCTTGAATCCCAGACGATCCTCCACCTGCTCCTCAAAGGGGCTGTCGGATGGTCTCTACCAGCTGTGGCTGGCGCAGCCTGCAGCCTCAATCCCAAGCACAAGATTCTCGCTCTTTGAACCACTCTGGGCCATAGTCTTCCACGGTGTACTTCACCCGTGCATGCTTTCGCCCTGTACCTTGGAAGCACGGTTTGCCAAGCAAAGCGTCCCACTCCGGTGGAGCGGAGCCTCCCCACATCTAACGCGTTCCAAGACGAAACCAGGACTGTTGAATCTGTGCAGAGGGGCGATCACCGAAATCACGCGCAACGGTGAGGATGCACTCGCACACATACTTCCTTGCAGGGCATTTGCAGCGACCTACCAGTACGTAATTGTCTTATTACAGCTTTGGACTTGCCTTCTTTACTTGCTGAACTGCGAGTCTCTTCTCAGCTGCCAGGACCCAATTGTGCAGGGAAGTCGGTTGCGGAATGCTGGCATGCAGAACCCCTTGTGTACTTTGCCCTCGTGCTATCGAGGCACGCATCGCCGGGTTTGCAGAAGCCTGAGGGCAAAGGGGAAACGAGTGTGCAGAGCTCATGCAATAGAGCTCACGTGCTTGCCAGGTGCCGATCACGTCCGCAAGTCGAGGATGAGTCTTCCTTGGTGCCCAAGCAAAACACGACAACCGCCAGCGAACTGCAGGGCCCATCCTCTCCAAGTGGCTGGTTGTTATGGGTGAAGCCAAGGCCACCACCAACAGCCACGTTAAAGCCTTTCAAAGCCAGGAGGGCAGGTCGGTCTCTCATCAAAAGCGTCACCCAGCCGTGCCTAGCAACTTGCCGTTCTGGATGATGGCAATGAAACCTGAAAACCGGGAAATCAAATGGGGTGCTCGTACTCATGCCGTCTTACAGGACTCTACTAGCCTCCTCTCAAACATTGAACATCCCCTTTCAATGAGTGTTCTCAAATCTCGGGTACGCAAACATCAGCGGATCTGGTACGGGCAAAAGAATTCTCAAGTTCGATGTGCTTTTTTTGCATCACGCTGACTGAGTGTTGCCTCCAGCTAGTTACGTTCTGGCACTGAGCAACATTGGCTTGGAGAGACGGGATCCTGAACTGAACTGTCTTCAGCAGTTCAGCATATGATACTGTTCCAACTACTTCGATCAAGGATCTGCAACACATTTGCCAGCACGAGTTTTGACATGCACAGCACTGCCGCCTGCACAGTGAGCGAAGAGGTCCACATCGTTGCTGGGAGGAATTGCCACAGCTACCTGCACGAACCCTGCTCTAGCCAGGTGGTCTTGACGTCTTGATTCGCAAAACGATGAGTGTTTGCCATAGCACGTCCGAATAGCGCCCAAAACCGTGGGAGCCTTGAATTTTCGCGGCAGGTAGGTGAGCCCATAGAGGGGCTCCTGTCAGGCTGCGAGGAGGAGCCCCAGGCCCCGTTCGGCAAACGAAGATCTCCGAGTCTCCTCCTCGACCGGCGTTGAGCCCATGATCTGAATCTTCTCTGCCATCTCAGCGCCTCAAGACTTGTCAGAGAAGTACAAGGGTGTTTGTACCAAGCTTGCTGCCGACCTTGCATGAGGAAGATCTCGTGGTAGGCGCCGGAACCTGGGCGAGGCACGTGGCTTCGGGGCTGAAGGCCCTGGCTTCTATCTGAAGTCCTCTTAAGAGCCATAACCCATGAGGCAGCCAGAGCATGCCAAAGCGAAGTCACACCGAGGCATCTTGAAGCAGTTCGTCGTCTTGTCATCTTGCCGTTAGTGCGCAAAATCAAAGCAACCCATGCGATGCAAATGCAAATTGTCTAACAAAAGTCGTAGACATGAAGGAACACAGATTGCTTGGATGTGGAATTACATGGATTTGCGCTGCCAGTTAATCCAAACATGTAAAATCGCCTTGGGTATTGTTTAGGCACCTATGCATGCATGCAGATGCGTGGGTGCACAGATACATACTTGCAAACATACATACATGCACACATACACACATGCATGCATATCTGGGCATACGTGCATACATACATACGTACATACATACATACAGACAGACAGACAGCCAGACAGGCTGGCAGGCAGGCAGGCAAACAGCAGACGTACGTACGTACATACATACACGCATACATGACTTGCTTGCATACTTACGTACTTACTCGCTTTAATACCCTCTAAGAGCTTCGGCGGCGTATTCTGCGATTGTGACTGTCTTCGGAGTCTCATCGGGCTCATCGACAGTTTCACTCGCATGTCATACAGAAATGCTTTTTCGATGTCAGGAGGACCGACCGTTTCCCATCGGTGGTGGTCGCGTCCTCCCATCGCAGGCGAACGCCACGAGACCTTACCGGTCTTTTTCTCGGCTCGATGTATCTTATCGATGCCCGGTAAATTGGAGAAGCCAGTCGTGGCTGCAAACTTGATGTCTCCTTTGATCGTCGTAGCCCTATTCGCATATTATCGATCTTGATCCAATGCTGGGCTGCATCGATGTCCTCAACTCTGGGATCACCTGGATTGCAGAAACCCGCTGATCATACATCTGCTGTGCAGAGGCGGGAACGTTGGCGGTCGCCGAAGAAGCCGATGCGCCCAGCTCGCGAACAGCTTCCGCTGAGAGCGATTCGCCAGAGCTTCCTGCCTCACCCTCACGTGGAAATCACATTCTCCATCGAGTAGGAAGGGAATCCGTGAAGGTGCCCACGTCCTCGGCGTTCGCCGCGCGCAACGAATTGTACCACGGAGCTATAACGGCCAAGAGCTGAGCGAACTGCTGCACGCGGTCGGGCATTTCAACGCGAGCGCGCTGCCGGCGGCAAGCCTGGATAGTGTTGATCAACGCCGGTCCAGAGGTGTGGCTGACCGAAAACCACGTCCACGGCACAGATGTTTTTCCACACTTAGACGTCAGGTCGATCTGGTGTGTTGGCGTCCCTGAACCGGAACTCGGCTCGATCGGCATCCTTCCCGTAGCCCTCCTCCGACTCCGACGACCGAGAGGTGATTGCTCCTGGCGTGATGGCTGGTCACCACAGATCCGCGGGGTCCGATCGAGTAGACCGGCGCCCCGACCTCGGAAGACATCACGGAGACCGTCCAGCCGACGGCCTGAACCATCCCCCGTTGGCCGTTCGGATGAGGACCTCATCGCAGAACTGCTGCTGGACCAAGAGGTCGGAGGGGAGTCTGTGGCTGAGCTGCTGGGCCGTGATAGGGGCCGGCTGCAGGGAACGACATTGTTGGTAAGGACCTAATCTTTGCCGACGATCGAAAATCCGGGCCGATGGGGTAATCGCCAAAATGGCCACGGAAAGATCAGATCGCGGCTGTTCTTACGATCTGTAACTTGACCTCTTAATCCCTACCTACCAGACCGATAACTAGGAGACACATACGTACATACATACATGCATCCATACATACATACATACATACATACAGACATCAGTTTACACAATCTCCACCACTCGCACAGCTCGCTGAACAGCCCT